CATCTACATATACATATACATATAGACATGGACATACACATATACATATACATATACATCTACATATACATATACATATAGACATGGACATACACATATACATATACATTTAGAAATACATATATATATATATTATATTTATATATATATGTAAATATCTGGTTGGTGGTTTGGAACATGTTTTATTTGTCCATATATTGGGAATGATAATCCCAACTGACTAATATTGTTCAGAGGGGTTGAAAGCAAGTAATTTTATATTAATAGAGATTGTTTTTATTCACCAGCAAACAAAACAATGCAAGTGTCCAAGATTGGCGATGATCTGGGGAGAACGGTTTATTCCAGCCACTCACATTAACAACCTACAACATGATGCCCCCCTACCAAGTGGTTCTTTTTAACCCCAATTAAGAGGGTGTGAATCAGTGTGATATGTATATATATAGAGACTTTGACAAACCCAACATTGAGCCTGAACTAAACTACCCTCCTGTAATTCAACAGTTCGCCATGGGATAGATGGCCCCAATCGAAATAGATCGTTTACCGTTTTTCATAGCATGTGATATTCCATGGCGAACTGTTAAATAGCCAGATGAAAACTAAACCAGCGCCTTTTAAATCCACAGATTGTTTGGTTCACCAGAAATCTCTCGGTGATTTCATCGCATTTTCTGCAGCCGGGCACGTGCCGTGCTCGTCCGTTGGTCGGTAGTTCAGGCTATCGAAGAGCAGCGTGCCCTTCGAGAAGTTGGATCAGCATTTGCGCGGGAGCACGGTTTTTTTTTGAAAAGAGTCCAAGAGATTCTTTGGAGTTCTGCATTTCTTGATATATAATGTGGATATAATAATAATAATAAGAATAATGATAATAATAAATATATATATATTAATATGATATAATATTAATAATTACAAATATCATATAATTAGTGGGAATTTTGTTGTTTCCAAAAGCGGTGCCTACAAGATGGTTTGGGCGGCTAAAACACTGCGATGGTGTCAGTTTGCACCTTCACCGAGACCGACTATATTGTTGTTTCATGTTGTCTACCCAGATTGCAGATAAACTTGCATATCTACGGTATATGTTCTTTGCAAATACAGTTTTTGTGTTTTATTATTATATATGTAGATACAACTATCTACATGCATATCCACAACTATCTACATGCATATCCAAAACGGATGTGTGCATATAAATACATTTATGTGTATATATATATATATAATCACACTAAGTCATTGTATCTATATATTATATATATATATATACAATCTGTTTTGGTCACACATATCGCCATGTTTCATCTGCAATCTGTATCTCTCCCGCGCTGCGCTGAGGGCCTCTTTGAGTATGAGCTGCGTGGAACTCAGCTCAGATGGTCCATTAATTCAGGTCAAGCTGTAGTCGGGTAGTGAAAAATCCTGAAGACCCTCCGGTAAACCATGGGAAAACAATGGGAAAACCATGGGAAAATGGTGATTTATGGTAAATCACCATTTTCAATGGGTAAATCCGCTATTTCTATGGCCATTTTCAATAGCTATGTTAAATTACCAGAATTGAATATAGCCATTTAGTTCGTTGATTTAGCCATTAATAGCATGGTGGATCTTTCCAGTTCGTTGTGTAAAAGTTTAGCAGAGGGTAGGTTGGATTGCGATTTCATGTCTACAGGTACCAGCTAACAGTTTAATTTGTTGCAGGGTATCTAAGATTGGCAATGTGTACTGAGTTATAATTTACCTATAAAAAGCATATTGAAACATGTTGATTTCCATAGCTAGGATGGCAAATTAGGATAGATGTTAGTAACGGTTTTTTTACTGTTAGTTTGATGTTTAATTGTTTGCATTTTTTTTAAAACTGTTCGATATTTTTGGGGCTACCGGCTACTGCAAAGATTGCTTTCCACTGATCCACTAAGTCCAGAAACCACGTTTTTCCCGGAAATGGGATGAATGGCTCGATTGCTCGATCAGGCCGCTCATTCATTGGGGTTGAAACACGTTCTGGTCTATGAGGGACGGTTTCCCATTGTCATCCTTCGCATGATTTTATCGGTTTGTTAAAGGGTACCCGTAAATGTCCATCCCTAGTATAGAAACGCAAAACCACACGCATCACCAGATTTGAACTAGATGGGTGGTACAGTACCAACTATCCTCCATTCAAGGTATTTTTGGCCGTTGGTAATACGGCATTGCATTGCAAGAAATGACAAGAATGCGTTTCCCGTGCCATGTCCATTCAAGGGGCAATTTTCATGAATTTTCCAGAGATCCGATGCTCTGATTGATGGTTCCAATTTCCAAGCATAATCTCACCATGGTAGTGGCCTTAAAATACAGGATATAAGGAGATGTTTGTTGTTTCCCAGGATATATAATGAAGGGTTACCCTCTGGCCCTCTGGTAAACTAACATAATTATGGAAAATCAATGAAAATCATCATTTGTCATGGGAAAATCCACTATAAATGATCATTTTCAATAGCAAACTGTTTGTTTACCAGAGGGTATCCTGTGAGTTTGAATTTCCACATGCGTTTTTTCGGGGCCCTGAAACGGCCCTGACGATGCCCAATGAGGTCAGCTCCTGTGTCAAGATACATCCGAGTCCATTGAATTGGCGAGTACACAGCTGGCCCGCAAGCCTGGGCAGCCTGCTTGGAAGAGTGGCAACTTGGGAAGTTGCGGAGCTAGAAATGGAGATGTTTTTTTTTTTTAATATTGTTATATATATAATATATATATAGTTATTTATTTAAAGGGTTTTAATTATCTCAGATCAAGATGGGTTTATGATGCATGGGAATTGTTTCTTATTGTGTCTGATTTTTGAAATATTTGGAATTCGCAACTTCCCCAGCTTAGGTAGATGTAGGTCGCGGTTTGTCCAACAATAATGGGAAAACAACATAGCTGCACAACTACCTCCACGACCCCTGTTTAAAAACGGATTTGTATTTTGGATCATGTTGGTATTCCCTGGGTTACTGACATCATTCCTACATAACAAATTGATGGGCGAATGGTTGGAAGTGATTTTGAGTCTTCCAATTATCTTCTCTTCCCAAATCCTATATTCCATATTTTTCCCAGGGTACAAGTCAATAATCGCAATTCACCCACACTCCAATTGGAACGTTTGATCAATGGCCGAATTCTACAAAATCTACAAATGCCTGTGATCCAATTGAATTGACCTACTCTTTTGCAGCATCACCCGAGTCACTGATACTTCACCCACCATACTTTACGGCAGTTTGAAAACCTTCCTAGAAATGATCTTTGATCTATATCTGGTTATTTAGAGTAGCACACTGGAAAATCACCATTTTAGAGTTCGGCAAATCATCATTGTTATTCATTTTTATCATCTCTATATATATATATCAGTATTATAAAGGGTAATTGTCCGTTATTTTTCATCTATTCCAGGCTTTTTCTTGGAACCGCGACTGAAGACATTCGCAACTGCCAGAGGGTCCAAACATCTTCTCCAAGGTGTCTCAGTTGACATCTGCCGGGCAAAACATGGAACGCATGCGGCAGGAGGTGCGTCATAGCTATGGAATGCTATGGAAGACCATGAAAAGCTGGGTAGATTATTCATGGGTACCCTCTGGTAAACTAACATAGCTATTGAAAATGGCCATTTATAGTGGATTTTCCCATTAAAAATTGTGATTTTCCATAGCTATGTTAAATTACCAGAGGGTAATGTTCCATGGCTACATTTATTGCCAGAGTGCTGTCCGAGAATTCGTCTGTACCAGACTCGCTGGGTACCCAGCAGTTTGTGAACTTCGGCAGGCCACTAGAGGCTATGGCCGTTTAGGCGATGTGTTGGAAGGTTTGAAGGCTGGGACCGCCGTCGCTTTTTTCATGGGCTGCTGAATGTCTGAGGATGGGAGAAACTAAAAAAAAAACATGAAACAACTTGATTACAGTTATGACCATTTATTGGTTATAACTGGTTATTTCATGTTATTTCTATGGGATTATACATTCTATAAATGGGGTTAGTTCTTAGATGTTCTTAGTACTTATAACTAGTATTCCGGGCCATAACTGTATGAACTGAATCCATAATTGTTCAGCGGAGATTGGATTAAATTGACACCAAACATTGAGAACGTTGAGTGGCCAACAAGACCAGAATGGGATTGTTAAGGAAGAACAATGAGATAAAACATGATAAAATTATATTAATCAAAAAGCAGTTGGAGTCAACAAAATGCGGATCCTTTTTTTGGGGGGATGAATCTTCTCCACCAAGACATACAGGTATTGTCTAGTCTATAACTTAGCCTTGCTATTGCAAAAGTAAGTCTAGTCCTCCGATTTTGTCGTGAAACGTTTGGATCGATTTGCTGTTTCGTGCTCGCAAGATTTCATTGTCACATGCAACATTCCCAATTGTACTAATGTGTGCAGTTGGAGACGCCATTATCGTTGATTATTTTTAGGGGTTATTCTCAATTGTGGTTGCTATCAGAATTATTACACCCGGATCTTCCATCTATGCCATGTCTACCTTCATATGAATATAAATAGATAAATGGAGCATGTAAAACACCATGGGTGGACATGGATGGTATACGCAGTATACGCATTTATATGCAATCATGTGTTTTGTTCAATTGATTTAGTCCTTAAAAAGAATATAAAAAAAAGAAAAAACAAAGTATGGAACAACTGATTTTGTCCCAAACAAAAGCCTAACAAATGGTTGCTTTCATCGTGGTTTGATAGATTTCACAGGTATAGCAACATACCGCAACCACTGAAAAGATGGAAACATGTTAAGTCTCAATTGATTTAGTGGAATGATGTAATATATGACACATATGGTGTATATATATTTATTATATATATATATTATGTGGTGTATATGTATGTATGTATGTATATATATATATGACATATACATATATACATATTTGAATTTGTACATAGTCCTTTTCATGCTCGGTAACAGGATGCGGACGATCGGAAACGCTCCGGTTTGAAGGGTCTGGCAGAGATCGATGTGGTGAAGACCGGGGGATTGGATGGACCCGGTGCTAAATTATGGATGATATGGATGTTTTAATGGAAACGTCGTCCGTAATTGGCTATAGTTGGGGAATGTTGGGGAAACATCTATGGCTGATACTAATCCCTGGTAGAGTTTTGTGTTTAGGGAAAGTTGACGCTGGAATGCCGGAATGACCTTGTTTTGCATCTGGCGTGTTTACACGAAAACTTCAGCCAGCCTCATTGCATCTGTAGGGCTGTCTGGAGGTTTCCCAAAATGGGGGAACCCCCAAATCATCCAAAATTAGACATAATTTCACGATTTTAGTATTGAAACCCTATGGTTTTGGGGACCCCCATTTTAGGAAACCTCCATTTGGTTGCAGATAGTATAAGTTTACAAAATATGATGAAATATATTTCGCATTTGACCCTACCTTTGACCATCAGCGAAACGGTGGCTTTGTCGAAACTGGTGAGAGATTCTTTGCTCCTGGGAGTGATCGACTGGTAGGATATCAGCCAATGTGGGTAATAGCATGGTGGCCCAATCCCAGAGAAAAGGTACCCTCTGGTAATTTAACATAGCTTTTGAAAATTAGACATTTATAGTTGATTTTATCATTAATAGCATGGTGATTTTCCATGGTTATGTTAGTTTACCAGAGGGTAACCTCTGTCATTCTCACCTGGCAATGAAACAACTTCAGATGAATTTCCAAAAAACGGAAACAAATCTGGAGGAAATGGAGATGTTCAGCCCATTGAAATCTGGAGGAATCTGGCACATCTTCGTGACATTCTCAAATTCTCAGCTTCCAGGCATATTGTTGCAGACTGAAACCCTGGAGTTATTTTTTGTGTATAGGAGGATGGGCTATCAGCGGCTAGCGATTACATGTGTGAGAAAAGGAACTTGGTTTACAGTAAACATATTCAGACTGTGTTTTAGGGTATTGATACTAGAAAAATATAAAAAACAGTTTTTAGTTTGTAAATGCCTCGGATTTGTCCAGGGATCAGGTGACAGCCATATACATTTTCATATTACAGTATGTATATATATATATGTTGTATCTGTTATAGTTGATATCTGTTAAATGATGGATAGATAAATCAATAGACGGACGACATTGGATGACTCGAAGCCAGGAGTTGACAAATGTGGCAGATGGCACAGCCTCACGTAGCCACTGCCAGAGGTGTCCAGGCGGTGTGTGCTACATTGACTTGGCTGGTGTCATCCCACACTGTTGGCGCACGGCACGGGTCCAAGACCTGTGACCCAAGGGGTACAGCGACGCTTCGGACGAGACGACGGACATTTTCACTGCAAAGGTCTACAGGCCAACTGCATCAAAAAGAACGCTGTCGCAAATGGCTTGCTTGGCTTACCGAAGGGAATTTTCCTTTGTATTTTGCAGTATACTAACTTCTAACTGATAAGGAAAATCCATGTGTAGGTCATTTCTGAACCTGAAATCCATGAAGCATGTCTACTGGAGCATAATTAGTGAACATGGTACAGCTGATGTTCGCCTCAGATCCTTTCCATGTCTGTCCATCCTTGCCCTTGCTGGTGAACATTCTGCACTTGATTCTGATGACATTCACAATTTGTATCAATTGGTACAGTTATGGCCCTTTACCAGTTATAATACTTATAACCCCATTTATAGAATGTATAATCCCATTTATAACCAGTTATAACTAATAAATGGCCATAACTGTACTTAGTGTACTTTGTGTAATCAAACATGGCTGAAGAATCCCCAGGCATAGTTCAATGATTTTCCCGCGGCCGGCAGGACACGAGTGGAAACTGCCTGCAACGCACTGAGGGAGGCACTGTGGAGTCTCCGGAGGATCCATGTTGCCATAGGAATCCCGTGGTATCCTCAGGTTGGAAGGTTGGATGGTTCCCACATGAAAGATGAATTGATAGATGAATTGGATGTTTCATGGTTCCCATGGCCCTTGTATATCTTGTGTGATCAAAACAGATCAAAACTAGGTATCCCATGTTGGTCTCCCATTGGTCTCCCATGGTATCCCCAGGTTTGGGAATCGCTTCGCAGGTGGGTTCTTGGGAACGAAAGGTGAAGGACTGCGAACAGATGGTTCGAGGACCCAAGCGAAAACCCGGCCTGGTAAACTACCACAGCTATTGATCATGGCCATTTAGTTCGTTGATTTACCCATTAAACAATGGTGGAACTACCATAGTTATGGTAGTTTACCGGTATAGTTTCTGGAATGTTATTCTGGTTGTATATTAACAGCAAGAAATCTATTTATGATTTCTGGAATGTATGTTAATATAAGGATTTTATGGATGTATGATTTTTATGGATATCTGATATATGAATGAAACTATCTATATTGCAATATATGGATATAACAAACAGTTTTAATGGATATGTATATATATATGGACATTATGAGTCATGGATATATGAATGGATATGAATATATATATATACACATTTGATATAGACATATATATATATATCAAACATTATTTCCATGGATATATCTGGACATTATGAATGAATTATTTTATGGATCATTACGGATCATTGTTGTGGATATCAGACTTAATGGACATTATGATTGGACTTTATGGATCATTGTTGGACATTATGATCCATACCAACAAATATGTGGACATTATGAATGGACGGGGGACTATGGATCATTGTTGTTGATATCTGATTTTTCCTTTGGTTTGGAAAAATCTGGATCATTATTATCAATAATGGGTTTGTTTCTGAGCCTCAATCTGTTGGTTTCTTGATATGTTGTTGTTTTCTGAAATGGTCCATATGGTTACGAAATAAGTATCTATGTCTATGTACCTACTACAATTTCAAGAGTTCTGCTGCTGATGATGCTGATGATGAGGATGATGATGATGATGATGACAACAATGACGACGATGACGATGACGATGACGATGATGATGATGATGATGATGATGATGGTGATGGTGGAAAGTATATATATAGAATTACACATGATGATTAAATGACATTTTTGTCAGTTGATGATAACATATTTTCTCGTATTATCAGTATTACTTTGACAGTGTGTGTCATGATCAAGATTGTCATGATGGAAGAAAGTGAACAATTGCCAAAGAGGATGAACATAAACCCAACACTCTTGGCTTGCACCAGAAGAGAGCCAAAACATGTTACCCAAGGAATGGCTGAAGTGAATGATGGGACATACAATCCCTCTTCAAGAGTAAACACCCTCGGGAACAGTCCATATTTCAGTAGTTGTTGAACACTTTGTCTACACGCTTGCCACAATTCACCATTTGTAGCTAGTCGTACTGTGGATGGAAGAATTCCTGCACCAGTTGAGGGATGTGGTTTATCCCAGTATTTACAAAGGTTTCTACCATCCAAAGTGGTGCAGGATTTCTTCCATCCACAGTATGTTTGAATACAAATGAATGGGTGGTGGCTGGCGGATATTCCGTCTTACCTAATTGATCACTGGTTGGTGGTTTGGAACATGTTTGTTTTCCATATATTGGGAATAATCATCCCAACTGACTAATATTTTTCAGAGGGGTTGAAACCACCAACCAGTAATTGATCAATTTGCAAGTGCAACCATTCATCGGCTTAATCAATTGCCAAGGTGGTTGGTTCTGTCCCTTTACATCCCCACTAAGTTGGTCACATATCCCATAATATGATCCACATTATTGTTGGCACATCATAATGATATCCATCTACCCTCTGGTAAACTAACATAACCTAACATAACTATGGACAAATCACAATTTTTAATGGGTATACCAACTATCAATTGCCATTTTCAATAGCTATGTTAGTTTACCAGAGGGTACCCCAAATGATTATCAGGTGTAATTCCCATATTCTTGGTTGTATCCCGATTGTTTCCCCAGCGTGTATTCACTAATGTTTGGAAGAATAATTGATTGACAAAAAAACATCCACAATTATACACGGTGTTGTGTTGCTTACATCCCGAAAAGTTGCTTTGGTTGATGAAATCCCAAGTTGGCAGTTGTGTAATCCCCATGGTACATATCCAACAACTTTTGTTTATGTTTGGCATCCCGGTATTGTGAGGAAAAATGTGAAAAATATCTTCATCATATGAGGGTGTCCAATATGTTCAATATCGGGGATAATAAATATGTTCAGTATGAAATACTAAATATCCCAATTTAAAAAGGGATCTTCATGTTCAATATGTTCACGTGTCTTGAAATGGGGGATCCCTTTTTCATCGCCATGGGCTTCAATACTAAGTGTTACTAAGTCATGATCGTCCATGATGACTGGACAATTTGGGGGTAACCCCATGACGAAACGGAAACCTCTTAACCATTGGGCCAATTACACCATGATTACCCTCTGGTAAACATACAAAAAGCTATTGAACATGGCCATTGAGTTCGTTGATTTACCCATTAAAATTTTTGCGACTTTCCATAGTTCTGTAAACGTTCACCAGAGGGTACTTTATAACCCCAGCTGAATATCTTGATATTGTGGTTAATATACTGTTAATAATGGTTAATATATGGTTATTATATGGTTTTTATATGGTTATTATATGGTTATTATATGGTTATTATATGGTTATTATATGATTATTATATGGTTATTATATGGTTATATTGTCAAGCAGGGGATATCACTACCATGATGCAATTTCAGGGGCTTTTCTCAGGTCCACGCCGGAAATTTGAGCGAAGCCTTGGGCCAACTTCAAGGCTTGAAAGGCGCGGCCGGGTGTCGCTTGGGACGCCAGGAAAATGGCTGGCCCCTTTCGGCCTTTCGGGTTGAAAGGCTGAAAAGATGGGAAAATGTCACCATGACAATTGCTGATCAATAGTGGCCTCAAGCACCAAAATAAGGACTTAACATGACTTAACCAATGAACTATAGTATTTGGGTCTGTCTGAAAATGGTATACCCAAAGAATGTGAATTATTTTGATAGGGAAACTAATAATTAACCAATAGATTTAGGGATGCCCTATTTTCAATATAACCAGTAAATAGAACATTATAGAACCATCTTAATAGATCTGAATAGCATCTTAATTGTGTCCAATGGGAATATGATGGGATATAGTAATATAATGTAATATATCAATGATGGATATACTTGTGTATGCATTAGTTCATGTATGTACTTTCCAAAGAGTAGGGGTATTTATCTACATATAATGCGATATACTCTTCAGCAAACTGACATAGACATTAAACATGTTGCAACCTCAACGACATCGATCCATATACATTCACCGTTCCTCTTACACATTAATGTTAATTTACTTGTTGGTATCAAGCAATATAGGGATCATAATTGACAATACTTTTGGGGTATGTATGGATACGATAATGATTCACCAACAATAATGGGGATGTACTGGGCATGTTCAATGGCAATATATATATATATACGTATATATATATATATACGTATATATATATATATATACGTATATATATATATGCATTTGCCGGCAAATATATATATATATATATATTTGCCGGCAAATATTGAGATTCAATTTGATATAACAGGAATCAAACCAACCATAGTCTAGAGGGGACATGGGTTTGGTCACATGGGTTTGGTCTGGAAAGGGGTACCATTTTGAACCCACATACTTAGATATTCGTAGAGTTTAACCTCTGGTAATTAAACATGGCAATGGATCACCTTCCATTTATAAATGCTTTTCCTACTAGAATCCCACTTGATATTGAATTTTATTTCCATTGCCACGTGTGATTGCCAGAGGGTAACTATTTGACCAGGGGTACAGAACTTTGAAGGATATCCATTTGTTTTTCGTCCTCCAAGCCACGATAATCTTCTCTCCACGATGAGCTTTATTGTTGATCAACCTATTTGTGCAGTAGAATTTGGATTGTATTCAAAATACTCAAATCAGCGGCTGTGGTTGCAAATGCTGGTCATTTGCAATCAAGCGAGGATGCACAATGATAACATAATCCCCAACTTGTGCTTTATGAAATTGGCTATCCCCCTACCCCCGATGAGTCCTCTCATGGCCTTGGGAAGGTGTCCTGGATGCATTTCGGCCAGGGGACCCCAGCGTGTGGACATATCGGGACAATGTGAACTTGATGCAGCAGTTCAACAGCAGCTGTATATTGCTTAAAGAATCAACCTCGAACGGATCTAGTTTTCAATCACGACCAACCTTAAACGGTAAAATTGGATATGGTATCGTTTTTCATTCATTAGACTAGATGTTGTTTTCAATGTTTGCTGGATCTGTTTCAGATCCACTTATTTCGCAGGATGAACATTCCAAGAAACAGTCTGCTTGACTTGTTGATTTGTGGAGTTTTATAGAGGGTATCTTTGGGAATCTGTGTCGGTCTTTGGGCTGGGTTGGCCTGGGTTGGGTAGATAACTTGGTACCTGTTTGCTGTGCTGCTGTGATGGTGGAACGTTAAAAACGTTATTTTACATGGAGGCATTGTTCTTAATCTAAGACAAACCGCGCAGATTCTGGATGTCCCCAAATCCCACCAGTGGAAACAAATGGATGTTGAAAGTTGAGAGGAATTGATGGCCGATGGCCCCACAAGTCAGGTGTTCTGAAAATGTGGCACAGCTTTTCCTGCATAGCTTGGGACTATTTGGGGCACCGCTGTTGCTCCACACTTGCAATCCTCATGATCATGATCATCATGATCAACATGATCATCATGATCATCATGATCATCATTATCATCATCATCGTCATCGTCACCGTCATCGTCATCATCATCATCATCATCATCATCAGGTTCATCATCATCATCATCATCATCATCATCATCACCATCATTACCATCATCATCATCATCATCATCATCATCATCATCATCATCATCATCATCATCATCATCATCATCATCACCTCTTTCATCTTCATTTTCATCTTCACCATCCTCATCATCATCCTCATCATCCTCCTCATCCTCATCCTCATCCTCATCATCATCCTCATCATCATCATAATCATCATCATCATCACATCATCACATCATCACATCATCACACCATTATCATCATCACATTAAAATGGCCACTTGCTCCGAACAATGTGTTGACTGGGGCAATAACATCAGCTTTATCTCCATGAGGGATCAAAATTCGCCACTTTCTATGAACAATATGTTGGTTGGGGGAATAACATGAACTATATCTCCATGAGGGATCAAAATTCGCCACCCCCGATGAACAATATTATGTTGATTGGGGTAATAATATCAGCTTTATCTTCGTAGCCACCTGAAGTCAGACGCGGCTCAATGTCAGGGTTGCAGCGAACATGTTCCTCGAAGACCAATATTATATCCACTGCAATTCTTGGTTCAAGATTATTAGATATAGATTATGAAATCATCTATTATCATGTTTATTAACTCCACATGATTGTTGATTACACCCATGTTTTTTTTTGGAGCCTTAAAAGTTCCATTTCTCGAAAAGAGGAATGACTTTGGGACCCATCGACCAGGATGTTACCCGAATTCGCACGGAAATCGGAACAGCTGAACCAACTCCAGGACAGTTTTGCTCGCGCTCGGCGAAGATATGGGGGATGTCACAGGTCTATGGGGATATGATTGGATATGATCAGTGGCCATTTGGGGAACCTGAATTCGAGGACCATATATATGGCTGATGTAAGGGGATATATATATATGTATTGATATCAGTATATATATATATAATATGTTGATACTAGTATTTATATATATAGATTGATATTAGTATATATATATATATACACGACATATATTAGTATATATGTGTATTCATACCCCCAACATTGGGTTTGTAATGCTTTATGCTTGAAATGACCCTTTAGATGATGGGATACAAATTGATATATATAATTGTGAATACACTTTGCCAACTTAAGAGAATTGTTACAAAAGAGAAGTATAGTTGTGTAGCCGCATAGTTTCCTCGCTGTCTCGCGTCTCCATGTGACAGCACCCTACTCAATCAGCTACTTTTCATGTTAATAGAAGATGTCAGTCCTCATCTTTGACTGTTTAGAGCTAGGTTCACTGACATTTGCAGACCACTTCGAAGCGTTCTTTTGTTGAATCTGTCCTAGGCCGTGCTGACATCCAGATGGATGTCAAATTAGTCCATGTTTACGTATTGATGTGCATTCTGTGTTTATCTCGATATTTGTTGGTTCCATTTTTTTTGGCTGGTAATCGTAACTTTATTTGACCATGATCACTTCACATATGTTCATATTTCTCCCTCCATCAATTTTGAGTTGTGAGATCCCCATAAATCCCTATAAAAACATATGTTATGTCTTAGTAGTTGAACCCATGTCAATTTCAAACATCACTCTACACAACTTCTAATGTGTTTTGTAGTAAAACCAAAAAAAGAATCCAATCAATCCGTTAACCGCTCACTTTGAGTAGTGAAATCCCATAGATTCTCAAGAAGATCTCTCCCGGTTTTGGTCAACGTTGAACGCTTCACAAAGGGCGCTTCACCCCTCAGGAGCAGCTCTTGTTCTCTGCCCGGCGCCGTGCGCGCAGTGCGCTGGAGAAAAATAGCGCAGAGGAGTTGAGGGCCTGTAGCGAGGCTCGGGGTTGGGATTTAGGCGGGATTTATCAGAATCATGCGGATTTACCCTCTGGCTATTTAACATAGCCATGGAAAGTGGCCCATTTATAGATGGTTTTCCTATTAAAAATGGTGATTTTCCATGGCTATGTTAGTCATAATCAGATGTTTTATGACCTTGGGATATTAAGGTCATAACTTAGGTTTTTTTAAACATCCATTTAGATTATAATCAACCATGGGAAATGTAACATCCATTTAGGTTATAAACCATGGGAAATCGATTTCGTTGGGTTGGATGTGTTACAACCCTGGGAATTCCTGCTGGGGAATTATAGAGATATGAGATTTTTGATAGATGTGGCTTTGTTTGGGACTAGGATACCCCAAAAATTCGAATGGTTTAGTTGGATTAGTTTCCCTCGATTTTAAGCGGCATTTGGGGGTACCCTCTGGTAATTTAACATTTCGCCATGGAAAGATCCACCATTTGTAAAACGGTAACCGGTAAACCATCTATTTCGATTAGGGCCATCTATACCATGGCTATGTTAAATAACCAGAGGGTATATCCCATTTTCAGACAAAGTTGGATTCAATGATTTGACAATGTATGGCGATTTATGGCGATGTGTGTCAGGATTTGACCTTGATTTGAGGTGATGTTCTGATATATGTTTGGGGGATCTTTTTGGGGACTTGATGAGATCTAGCCAAAAACATCCAAAACCATCCAAATTTGATGGGGAATTGTATTGGAAACTAAATTTCATGGGATATGTCATCGGATAGGGGATTGAAATGGACATTTCTCCACTTCGTATAGCAGCTCGCAAAAGAATGACAGGAAAAGCAATTGCTCCTGCTAAGATAATTTGCTGAACTGAACCTATTTCTGTATTTATTCGTGGTTAGTGGTTACTATACTTTACCTTCAATGAACGTCCAACCATGCAATGGATTACTACAGTGTTGAGCATCTCTACTAGTGACAAAAAACAGTTATCGACATCGTCTCTCCAAGGGGTTACCATATAGTGAGTCGAGCTGGGTCATGTAGTGGTGGCGGGGTTCAGTCTGTGTGTAGCTGAATATATTACCCAACCTGGTTATGACTAACAGTTCGCCATCCAGCGAAGCCAAAGGAGTAGGAATTCCCACACCAGTGACAAACAATTTCCGTGAATTCCCACAACTCTGAGTATTTCTCCGCAAATTCTCGCTCCACGAGCGGATTCTCACACCACTTGTGATTTATGCCATCGTTTGTCAATTACACGTGCTTAATGCATGTTGTGTTGTTATCAATGATTGTCTGATATTTTCTCACAAATGATCCATACCAGTCCGGTCATGGTAGAATGGCCTGGTCAACCTGCCAATCCCTGCGGGCAACACGATGGAGGCACCTTTTTCACTCCTCTCGGAGCTGCTGGGTCAATGCGGTGATGTATAAATCGTATGTCCGATGCACTGTGGTTTTCGGTGAAACTCTGCGCGAAAACCGTGCAAGGACTCCGACAAAGGTCTCGTCCTGTTGGCAAGAATCCGTCAGCGGGTTCTCCACCCACTGCAATCTTCTGCTTGAAAGCTGCAAGAGCCTGAACACATGGCACAACATATGTGCCTTCACGTGCAACGGAAAACGAGGCTCTTTAAGACCCAAGCTCAACGCTGCCAAATGCTTGAAAGCTCTCAAATGCAACAGCCCGTGGCGCGCTATCTCAGAAGCCTCACTGGCATCCAACCAAGCGCCGCCACGATAAAGCATGCGGAAGGCAGCATTCATATGTCGCCTCAACAAGATCAAGATGAAAAAAGACATGCTGTCGGAATTTCAAACACCAAGCCAGTCTGTACGTCAAGCTGCACAGCAACGGCTATGAATGGCACGCGGCCATCACGTTCAGCCGCTTCAGTGACAAAGTCGTCAGTCAACATAGTCTCCAGCCACTCCTAGGCTATGGGCAAATTATGCAAAACATTCAAATTCCACACCACCAGAAGCTGCGTGAAAAGAATCTGCAGACAAGGCGCCATCAAAAGTGTTGTGGTACTACCCTTTTGCCACTTGCCTTCCGGCCAGTCCAAATGGCTCATGAAGCCTAAAGATTCACGAGAAATCTTTTGCAGGTACGGCCGTTCCTGGCACGTCATGCAAGGGCAACATCTATAGCAAACAATATTCCAGTCACATGCAGAAAGGCAAAAAAAACCAAAGAAGGTGAAAGGATACACGTTCTGCCAAGGAACTCGAACTGATCGACAGTATTGCAGCCATTTGCGACTCAGCTGCTGGAATCGCGTCTCCACTCCATCCCCTTCTTCCAACTGTTGAAGAACCACCAGGGCACTAGACAGAAAGTAGCGTCCATGACCAAGGTGAAATCCATGAAACAAGTCCGGCCGAAACGTAAACGGACGGAAGTCCTTGATGGCAGGAAGACTGTGCCAGGGGCTGACGCTATGCCAAGGAACTTGGGCAGCAGCAGAGTCCATGGTTCTTTCCCAATCTGGGGAGGTGGAAAAGTCCGTGTAGGATATGCCAGAAACGCCGCCAAGACATAGATGGCACACGCCCGGTGAAGCCAGGCTGGACTCTCCACGCTTTGGTGCACGCCGGAAGTGACGTTCCAAGTGGGCTGCTTCGATCAAAAACGGCCAATCACCTTTGACCGAGCAGACGCAGAATCTTAAGCGAAGCTGTAGTCCGTTGACCACTACCGGAACGCCAGTGTGAAGGGCACCATGGAGATCTGACGCCACCATGGCCATGGCCTCATCCAGCGCTTCAGGGTTCTCGGAGTACGTCTCCTTCAGGGCTGCAAACAGAAGAAAGCGCGTCTGCAGCACGTGTCCCATCCTGTGGCCACAGGTGCATCCGTATCAGCGACTTCAATCAACAAACAACCGACAAGGAAAACAACACAAACAAAAAATATTTCAATTATTAGTGCCGAGCTGCATGTTGAGTCCTTGGGCTGCTTGCTGTTTTTCTTCTGCTTGGTTCTGTGACTTGGTGGTTCCTCGCCCAAGGACCGGCTGCCAGTTCAGCAACATCAGGGGAGACTTTTTTTTGCCTTGGTAGCTGAAAAAAGTCGATGTGATGCAAATCGATTCAAGCACTCACAGCACATGTGCAACCAAGGCGCTTCTCCCCTCGTCGCCGTGCAGCTTTATGGGGATCAAAAGTGTGTAGTCTTCAGGGGTGAATTCAAAGTCGAACAGCTCAAAGTTTGGGTATTGGAGATGGTACCTTCGCCAATATTCTGATAGGATGGCGCGAGCCTGCTGCAAGTCCGAAGATGGCAGCAAGACGTCCACACGTCGGAGCTTGCTCAAGGCTTTCACCATATCTGTGAGTTTGATCCACGGGTAACCTCAGTTGATTCACCAAACATGACAATGAAATACATGATAAGATAAGACCATCTAAAATATAACATGTTTTTCCCGAAGGCTATCGTAATAAAAACCCAGAAACGCTCATCATCACCAATCTGGCCAGCACTGACATCAATTGGCCCACGCAAGCCAGAATGGTCAAAGGCTTTGAAAGCTTCCCTGGCCTTACCAAGGCAAATCCGCGAACCAACACATGACTGAAGACGACTTAACTTGCTTGATCAAAAAATGCGCTACTGCAAACAAGTTGCTGCATGCGAGCTTCCAGAAGCAAGGCGTTGCAGCACTGGGTCACTGCGTCGCACTCCCAAGGCAGCATCATCTGCCAGAATTGCTTGCGCGTGCTCTGCCAATTGAATGGCAGGAGCCTCAATGAAAGCAAGTCACAATTTTGTAAGGTATTAGGAATGTAAGAAAATACCGCAGCCTTTTCTACCAAGCAGTCCTTGCCCAAACCGAATGCTTTAGATTGGACGCCAGGGTGTAACCTGTGCGTTCAGTGCTGTGAAATTTAAGGATAGATGGTAATGAGGTATTAATTAATACGTCGCTACCGACTTCCTAAGTCTGCTACAACCTCTCTTGGTGCATAGCACAAATTATAATTTGCAGTAGTGATCACTCTTAGTCGTTTCAATATAGATACTCATGACTGTCAAGATCAACCTTGAAAACGAGATTTGTTTATCCAGCAGAACCGTCCATGACTAAAAGCAGGCAGTGATGCAAGGCTTGGAATATATCATGTCAAAATTGCAACCGAGTTACTCCTCGTGCCATACTGCGCGCCAAACTGCTAGCTATGGCGCTAGTGCCTCTGGAAGAAGAGGCAGGCGCTCTAGGACCCGCAGCAGCAGCGCAGGCAGCGCTGGAAGAAGCCGCCGATGCTGCAGGAGTACCTGGAAATGTGCAAAGGTAAAAACTAAAAATATTATGCAAGGAAACCTTGCAGAAGCAAATTTTCAGACTTGCTAGAGACGCTTTTTTTTCACAGGGCTGCGGATAGAGATGGGTATCGCAAGCTCAAGGCAGCACACAACGATTATTGTGTGGCCACGTCCCCTTGGTAAAGGATTGGCACGCAAACATGGCATGTGCCTGCAGGTTCCTTGTCAAATTTTCAGAACAGTATGCAACAGCTGCTTTCAACCATCATATCCAACTCCCGCAAGCACAGCCTAAGCCATATTGCTGCGTGGCACGCAAACTACACCCACTGTTTCAAGTAGGAAGGTTTGCACGAAACCCAAAACTTCGTGAGAAGCCCTCACTCCTCATTCTTCTTCTTCTTGGCCGCGGCCTTAGCCTTGCTCTTCGCACCGGCCTTCGGAGCTGGCTCGCCATCTCCATTCCCACCCTCCGGCCCGTTCTCACGAGGGCGCTTGGTGCCTTTCCTTTCAGCATTCAGCAACTTGTAACGATGCTCCAAGGCCAAAATTTTCACGCACCTGGACTGGCCCACAGGCAGATTGCACGTGCACAGGAAAATGACAATATAACAACAAGAACACTAGATATATATTCAAGAAACGGTGCACGGGCAAACTCCTTGGCTTCCTGCACCATCTTCTGCAACCTGAAAGGTAGAGGCAGAACATGAAAGGGCCGGAATCCAGACCCATCTACAAGACTGCAAACACAAGACAAGTTTGAGGATTGTTTCTGAAAGGGCCGGAATCCAGGCCCATCTACAAGACTTTACAAACACAATACAAGTCTGAGGATTGTTTCTGAAAGGGCCGGAATCCAGACCCATGAAAAAAAGATATTACTAAAGTAGATTGAAAGGGCCTACACAATACAAAGTCTTAGGATTGTTTCTGAAAGGGCCGGAATCCAGACCCATGACTACAAGATATTACACAATATTACACATATATTGACAGGGCCGGAATCCAGACCCATCTACAAGACCTTACAAACACAATACAAGTTTGAGGATTGTTTCTGAAAGGGCCGGAATCCAGACTCATGACTACAAGATATTACACAATATTACACATATATTGACAGGGCCGGAATCCAGACCCATCTACAAGACCTTACAAACACAATACAAGTTTGAGGATTGTTTCTGAAAGGGCCGGAATCCAGACCCATGACTACAAGATATTACACATATATTGACAGGGCCGGAATCCAGACCCATCTACAAGACATTACAAACACAATGCAAGTCTGAGGATTGTTTCTGAGAGGGCCGGAATCCAGACCCATGACTACAAGATATTACACATATATTGACAGGGCCGGAATCCAGACCCATCTACAAGACCTTACAAACACAATACAAGTTTGAGGATTGTTTCTGAAAGGGCCGGAATCCAGACCCATGACTACAAGATATTACACATATGTTGGCAGGGCCGGAATCCAGACCCATCTACAAGACATTACAAACACAATACAAGTCTGAGGATTGTTTCTGAAAGGGCCGGAATCCAGACCCATGACTACAAGATATTATGAACATATATTCGTTTTTTTGGAATTTAGAATGAACAATCATGTGATCAAAAAGTATATGGAATCCAGACCCATCATCAAAAATCTGAAAGGACATTACCCCTAAGACTACAGCATGACAGAAAAAATGAAACACCCAATTACACATAAATGACCCAAATGCAGTGGCACGGGCTTTTTTCTAGGTGCTATATAAAACAAGAAGCATGGCATAACACGACCAGGGGCTCTTCCAGAGGCTTCTGGCGCGAGTCCACGGTGTGGGCACACTCTGCGAGGGCCTCGAAGCACGCCTCCAACTTGTCCAAGATCTCCTTGCTGTCCGCCATGAACCTGCAGGGCAAAGGATTAGAAACGGCTGCGGGGAACCTTAATTTGACGAAAATGGCTGCGGACATGCTGGGGCAGTGGTGATCAAACTCAAAGACAAGGTTTGGCGCTAATGCATCCTAGATACTTTTGTGCACGCTCATTGGTCATAGATTCCAAAGCATTCTGCCAGCTGACCACGGAAGAAGCCTTCTGGTGAACCGAGTCCGTGAACTGGCGCAGGTTGTCCGCCAGTTCCTGCACCGTCCCCATGGGCACAGCACCCTTGGATCCATCCGGCAGAGCTTCAAGTGGCTCATCATGCATTGCCATGTGGTTCAACTGGTCGCCAGGCATTCCCTGACAGAAGTGGATTGGGTCGATGGAACGACCAAACTTGAAATGAAACTTGAAAATGACATCTGACGAGTTTTCTTAAAAAAACAAATGCCGCCTCCTCACTGCCATCCTTTGTGTGAAGCCAACGCTCGAGCTCCGACTTCTTCAGCTTCACTGTATCCGACGTTTGCACAAAATATTCCGTTTGGTCGGAATCATAGCGCCATGGCCTCGACATAGGCATGCTTTGGAAAACGCACTGCAACTGAAGTATCTTTCAAACAGTTCAAATAGCAACAGTTTCAACGCCCGACCTGGTCAAAACCGACTTGAACCGCAAGCAGTAGCTTTTTACCTTCGAGATGAGGCCCCTGCAGGTGTGGAGCGGTGAAGACAGCCAAAGAAGCAACACATCTGACTGTACATGCTACAATGTATATAGAACAAGTCAATAAAAGATGTGCCATATGTGAGCCCCAGATAGACCATGTTCGTACATAATGAAACACAATATTCCAAATCCACCCATGATCCCTGTCTAAATATCATATATTAAACACATGGAACAAAAATATTAAAAGCTGTACCAAGGCACTTTCCCCATCCAAGGTCCTTCTCCAAGCGCTCCTCGAGATACCACCCGCCAGAAATTTCTTCATCGCGAGAACGCGACTGCTCGTGCAGGCGTGCCAGTTGCTCTTCGAATTCGCCCTGTGCGAAGAGAGGAAAGATCACAGGTGCATATGACGACGACCAATTTGTTTTAAACCCATGTCAAAATATTTAATCCGAACACATATTATTGCATGTATAAGCGAGAAACATACCGATTGAAAATTCACAACTATCATTACGGGAAGCAACAATATCCCGAATACTCACAGCAATAGCACCAAGCCAGAAACATGATTGAAACAAAGTGTTGGCCCACCCGACCCGCACTAGGTTGCGCGTGCGAGCACTGGAGTCGAAACCATGAGTCTTTAGGCTACGGGTGAGAGCGAGCAGCAACTCGTCCCGAGAGCCAGTAAGCCACTGGTTGTGGATGCTTTCTGGCACCTGCAACTTGCCGGCCGCCGTACGGCCACACAAGCGCTTCAAGCGCATGTACAACGCGTGAGGACTTAACTCCTGCATGGATGGTAAACAGCTGCGGGCGAATACAAAATAAAAAATCCCATATACAATACCATTGCTTTTTATGAATATCATGAGTTGGGCTTGAACCATGTTGAAGCTTGGGGTTTTAGTATCACCGGGATATGAATGAATATATGAAATTGGAATGAACCATATTGAACATAGAACATCACCTGGAGACGCGAGGAAACAACGCCACAGACATGATGGAAAATTTTACATACAAGATTAAACATGATAAAGTGTCATGATTTAAAGTAAACCATTTTTCGTCGTATTCCTGGTGGTCCATGTCAAAGCGTTCCGCGAGTTCCTCCTCATCTGGATGCAGGCCTTCAGCCACACTTGGCGCCGGAGAGGTAGGAGCAGCGCTAGGCACAGGGATCGGAGTCCCAGCGGCCGAAGGCAAAGCTGCAGGGGAACTCTTGGCTGGAGGCAGGGGTGCCTTGAATGAAGGTGAGCCGGCTTTTGCTTGTCCAACTGGTGCTTGAACCGGTGGTGGCTTCGCAGTAGGCCCCGCTGGAGCAACTGCCATTTTGGACTTGGCGGCCAAAGGCGGCACAGGGGAAGGAGTGAACAAAGCTTTGCTCTGCGGAGGGGTCTCGAACTGGTTGGCTTCCATGCTGGGCTTGGGAGGTGGTGTAGTCTTCGGTGCAGGGCTGTTCTTAGCTTTCAGCGCAGCCAGTTCTTGGAGGGCTGCTTCGTAGTGAGCCTTCCATTTTGCAGCTTCAGCATTGTCTGCCTTTCCCGAAGTGGCAGGCTGCGAGCTTTGCCCTGGACTGGCCACAGTGGCTTCCGGAGACCGGTGAGCATCATCCAAGCTCAGGGTCTTGGCTCTGAGAAGCTGCTGGTCTGTGAGCTGCGAGTCCGCCGGAAAATGCTCTTCATCCGAACTGACACAAAGCACCGTGGATGGTCCCAGGGATACCTTTGGCACTTCTGGTTGCTCCACCTTGGTCGCCAGGAAGGAGCCTTGGGCGTCCAAGTGGGTGTCAGACACAGTAGGGCTCGGAGCAGCCTTAGTAGTTGGTGGTGCGGTCGTCTTCCATTCCCATGGCTCCCAGCCTGGTCCAATGACATCGATGGTCATATAACTTGGAGTCTGAGCGACATCTGGGGCACCTGGGTCGCCCAGGTCAGCAGGAATCGTCTCAGCATCTGGGGCTGCAGGAACTGCAGGAGCCGGTGCTGGTTCCACACTTGGCTGCGCAGGTGGTGTATGAGCCACACTTGGCAAGGTTGAGGCTGCCGCTTCGCTGGGCCGCTCCCTTGCTAGAACTTCCTGCGGTTTGTGCGGCGCAAGGTTTCCCACTGGGACCGACGGTACTGCAGGTACCACTGGCTTTGCGCTAGTTGCCTCCGAATCCTGGGCGGAATGAAGGTGGAAAAAATGGTAAAACTTGGCAAAATAATCTATGACCCAAATAAAAACCATACTAACCATGATGCTAAAATAAACAGCTTACATCATACTATCTCCATAACATACCACAACCAAAAACAACATCAGGAAGGTGAAAAAATGGAAAACTTGGCAAACATAATTTATGATCACCACAAACAAATGAAATTATTGATGCAAAAAACATATTGAACCATTACCAGTCCCAGTCCTCTGTTGGCTCCAGCTTCGCTTGGACCCATGCAGCCTGAGGCTTGCGAGGTAACACTTGTAGCTTGTAGACCGATCAAAAATGCAACAAGATGGCTAGCAGGCTCAGGATCTGACAACGGACACAGCGTGGTCACCCAAGTCATGGCCCTCGAGGGCTGCTTCATTCTCCTGTGTCCCCACCCAAAAAAAATAAACAATTTGAAGTCACGAATGAACCGTGAAAGAGCAACAGCAGTCCTGCAACATCGCCAGAAGTTCCTTTGCAGTCTTACCTTGAAGTTCCTCAGCAGCTTCCTGCAACTCCTTTTGCAGCACCATCTGGGCAGGAGGAGCAGACATGTCAACCACGGTGGCCGCAGCACGAACTAGATCGCTGCAGCTCCAGGCCTTGCTCTGAAGGCGTTTGGGTTCCATCTTCCTACTTTGAAACTGAAAAACAGGGCTGCGGAAAAACGGCTAGGTGAGGAAAACAACATGCCAACTAAGTTGCAGATGCCAAAAAACAAACGGAAGTTGCGAAGAGACAACGCTTTGGGGATCTTTGGGGTGCTAGAACTTCAACCCTTTCATAAACCCACATTTTGCATACAAAAGTGGCGTTTCAGACCATATGGTTTTTATGTCCCCATTACGGATTACTAGCCTCTTCTCCGGGTTTTCTCGCTCCTATTTCTCGCATCTCCTCCGGGTATTCTCGCCGCTTCTCCGGGTATTCTCGCCTCTAGTCCGGGTTGCTAATTTCTCCGGTACGTATTTTGAATTTCTCCGGGTCATTTTGGAATTTCTCCGGCTAATTCCTGCATTTTATCCGGGGCGTAATTGGTGGATGTTGTTTTTAAAAAGTAACATCTGTCACATCTATAGGACCACTCAGACATGAGTCGGGAATGCCCGTTTCCATCTTGCAGGTACTTTTAAGTGCACCGAGCCCCGCAGATATATACAAGACTCCATCAGCTCGGCCTCCGCCCAGCTGTCTTCAAAATTCAAGCGCTGGAACATGGCAGGTGCATTCCAGCCCTCCGCAGGCTCAGTTGCTAGTCTCGGGGCGGTGCTCTTTTTTTGGAGAAGCTTCGGCAATATCCTTTGCACCCGGAGGCCAAAGGCTATCGGGTAACTCCTGCAGATCAACACAATGAGAATTACTTGGATCGCTGAACAAACCACCCCTATGCAAAAAAAAACACATGCAAATCCAAGCAATTGAGGCCTGCACTGTGTACCTTTGAGCCATTTCGTCCCGGAGTACGAAACCTTCCCACTCTTGGTTTTCTTCTTGGTCGCTGTTTTGACAACGCATTTTTCGCGGGCCTTCTTCTGCAAGAACCCGCGGTCAAGCAGGCCAATGGCCTCACTGTTAGACCATGCTCGATGTCTCTTCCTGGGCATTGGTCTGTTTTAGATGAACACATGAATATTATTGGTCCTAATGTGCTATCTTATATACATCTTATTTCTGATAGCAAAAAAGTCGAGATGTACGATGATTACGTCCAGTTTCGGTGTGAGTGAGCCATAATGTTTCATCCACCAGCCCACTCGCCAAAGCTTTACCATCTGGGCGAATTGTTCCCACCGTGGAAACCACGGCAGCCGTGAGGAAGATGGCTGCTCCAACATCAGTGCACCGTTGAGACATACGGCCAGATAGCATAGCAAAATGCTTCTGGAGAGTAACAGGTTTCCAACCTCAGTATGTGAAAGGGTATAGTTAACATGATGGGATGGAAAAAAATAATTCCTAAAAAAAATGCGAACAAGTGGCTCGAACATGTGGCAGGGTTGTGTCCCCAAACGGAGTACAAGGAGACCTCTTTGAAGTTGCGACGTTCATCGCGCTGAAGCTCGTACACACCACTGCGAGCAGACAAAAAAAACCTGCTGGCGAAGTGTTCAGAAGCACCCAGATCGCCAGCCTTAATTGCATGTTTTTGTGACTTTGGGCGTCCAAACGTGCTGCTCAAAAATGCTGAGGTAGCAACGGTAAACCAGCAGCGTGTCCAAGATCGAAGGCGTTGCGTTGAGCCACCTGGCCTCCATATCGGATGTCGAGCTGAGCGGTGGCCACCAGGCCGTACTTGGTGGATTTGCCGACATTTCCATCGCCAGCGAACAGCTCGACACATGTCCACGCCTGCAAATTCATCATGATAGCGACAACAAAATATTTCAAGTGATCGCAAAAACGTATCAAAATACCAGGCCTGTGCCACTGTGGGCATACCGGTATGATAGAACGTCATTACGATCATCCAAAGGAACGCCTGACAGAATGCGACAGTGATCACTAATTATTCCTGTAGTTTACCAGTTGCGTGCGCTGCCAAAAACAAAAGGTGCCTTTGGAACTTTCATCATCATCAGCCGAATGATCAAACGATCTAAGGCAGCATCATTCGGAACAGCATGGTGTCGAGCCATGGCCACTAACTCCGGGAAACAGCTGCGGAAACAGCTGCGGAAATGCAATCATCATGAAACCCTCTGGAAACAGCTGCAGAAATGCAATCATCATGCAAGGCCATGTGAAAAGGCTTCAGTTTGAACAATGGCAAGGCAGACAAGACAGCAAATTGCCAGGGGCACTTCGAGGAGGTCTGGCTGCAGCCCTTTGCTCGCGCTGAAGCCGCTTCTCCTTCTGGATGGCCCCACGTGCAAAGCGATGGCCAGAAGAGCGAGCGCCGCGCTTCACCATAGCACCTGCACAGAACGGCATGGGCATTATGCCTTTATGAATTGTCAATTAACACAAGCGAGTCTTGAGTGTCACTAGCAGAATGTCTGGCATGCCAGTGCATCACGCCAATGCATTCTTTGTTCCCTTCGCCAGGTTTTTGCGTCATCCTTCCTCCCTGCGGCGTCGCCGTGACCGGTCACGGTCCTCCTTCTTGCTCTTGTCCTTGTCATGTCGCCTCCGCCGGGCCGAGGTAGCTGGGGCTGGCTCGGAGGCATTCCTTCTCTGACACGGAGGCTCCTGGATGCAGTTCCCGAGGGATGGGGGTTCCAGAGGCAAGGTTTGCCGAGCTGAGGAGAGCACCTGACAATGAATGGCAAACAAGACTGAAACAACCAAGGTACACGACTAAGAACCCAAAATGGTTACAATAAAAAAGTATGTTAGTGCAAAAAATGTATCCCATTGATAACAAAACCAATGTTTCACGAAAAACACAGTTATTGATAATCCAAAAATTGTTACAACGAAATTGTATCCCTTGAACAATTTTGACCCTTGATACCCAAAAATGGCGATTACCAAAAACACACATATGTTAAGGAAACATAATGCATGCAGCCAAGGCACCCCACACAGCTGGATCCCTGACCATCTGTTGCTGCATATACTCCATCACATGGCGCACAGCTTGTCGCGCAGCAATCACAGCATCACCAGACGTAGCGAGGTCTCCCCCTGCACTTGTTCCGCACGCCTTAGGCATTGATGCACTAGACTTGCAGCCTGGGACTGTAGCAGGTGCTCCTGCCGTGGAGCCAGCGGGTAGGCCTGCGACAGCGCAAGCTCTCTCCACCGCATCTGGCCGGGGCTTCGGTTTTGGAGGGCCAGCACCTGATGATCAATGAGATTTAAAGCCGAAAAATATGATGAGCAGTTTAACCAAGAGCATCGCGGAAAAAGTAAAAAAATTGTGCCAAGATGCCAGGGGCCCCTGCACCACCGTCTCCAGGTTCACTGTGGGTATCCTGCAGGGTCAGGAATATATATTATATATTTATAATATATATGTTCGACATGGATTTAGTGTGAAACAACATAATGTAAAACATTAGATGCGCAGTCCTCGGAGGATTCACTGGGATCTTTCTTTTCCTTTTTGTTTGTCTTCTTCACAGGGCGAGGTGGGGGCATCATCATCATAGGAGGCACCATGTGCGGTGGTGGGAATGGAGGTACTGGCTGCGGGGGTCCATATGGCAGTCCGCCAGGCCCATAGGGCAGCCACATGTAGACCCACTGCCCCATCCCCATTGGCGCAGAAGGTGGCCTGACTGGAGAAGATGGCCTCATTGATCCCTTGGACGTTGGCGCCTCATTGCTGCACGCAGTCCCCCTTGGAGGCCGGCTTCCACCCTTCCTGGCGCACGCACTTTGAAAAAAATGAATAGGTAATCAAGCATGCAAGCGCATACAAGCAAAATAACTTATAGTCAAGTCACCCCTTTTCATCTCCCTTCTCTTTACCTTTTCCATCTTTTCCTTTCCCATCCCTTGCGTCCGGCCCTTTGGACCTCAGTGTCACCCACAATGCAGGCTATAGCTGGGTACAAATGATTCTCATGGACAATGGATAAAATTACGCTGTATATAGCATATAATATTATCAACTAATGGAAATTAAACAAAGCATGCCACCAAGACACCATCCTTTTCCCTTGGGCGGACCATGGCGGCCATCGTCCGAGCTTCCGCCATCACCAAGACCATTCGGCATGAGCGGGAGGGGCGCCGCAAGTCCCTTCAGCGAGGGGGCCTTATCATCCCTTGATATAAAATTGAGCCAAAAAGAGGCAAAGCAAACATAGTTTCACGGCTGACAACGGCAAACATAGTTTCAACTGCAAACTGCGGCAAGCAAATCCAGGTGAATGCCTTAAAAAAAAGCTGCGACCAGGCCTCCAGCAAATCGAAAGGTGGCCCCGCTGCTCCGCAAAGCAAGGTGGCATGCAGATGCCCCCCAGCCATAGCAGCCAGCGCAGTCGGGTCAAGACCTGGCATGGCGGGAAATTGCACAAGCACATTCAATCACATTCATGTTTGTTCAGAAAACGGCTGCGGAAAACGGCGACAGAAGCAGTGTGGAAGCAACCTTTTTTTTCCCGGCTGAATTTGCATTGTTTGCATGCAGCGAACAGCAGGTCAAAGCGACGAAAGCGCAGCTGAGGGTGGTCTGGGATTGCTTTGAAACGCGAGTGACAGCGTGGATTGACTGGCAAACGACTATACCCCATAAAACTGTACACCCTCAACTCGCTTCAAAAGCTTTCACTACATGGGACACCCAGCTGTTGGTAAGCCATCAGCATTCACCATGTCAAGGTCAAAAATATGACCAAAAACAACAGGATCCTATTCAGTGACCCCGGGCCCTCAGATCTTCAAACTTGTCATGGGCAGCCGCAGCGGTCAACTGCAAATTGTCGAAGCACGTGCTGGCTTCATTACTCATGGCCCACTCACGCGGATGAGCCACCAACTTCTCTGCCATCTTGTGGGCAACCAGGATGTTCACGGCGATGCTGTTGAACTTCCTTCCGGTGTAGTACCGCTGTGTCACACCGCTCTCCGTGGCAATCTTGATGCCGACAGCAGGGCGGGTCCAGTAGACAGGGATGGTGATCCAATCTGCAAACTTCCTGCAAGGTCAGATCATGAAAATATCAATAAAGTCTCATGGAATTTCTTTGTCATAATGGTCTGATCACAAGATTTTGATATATATATATATATATATACAATTATATACACAGGATAACAGTCCATGTATGATAACATATCATTCCAACACAATATGTGATCGTGGATCCACCCACCCCCAAAAAAATAAGTCGAGGTACTTCGTGTGGAGAGTCATCTCAGACTTGTCGTAGGACTGGTCCTTGAACTGCTTCATGACCTCGAGGAACTCCGGGATCATGTCCCTGTCAACCTCCGGAGGGTACTCCCACTGCCCAGGCTTCGCTTTGGACTTGGCAGCTGTGCGCCTTTGCTTCTTGGGCTTCGCCTCAACTGGCGCAGAAACTGCAGGAACTTCAGCCTCCTCCGTAGCCTCCTCCGTGTTCTTGCGCTTGGGTGCTCTCTTGGGGGCTGCCTTGTCGTCAGTCTTTCGTGGTCGGCCCTTGGCTTTCGCCTTTGGCTTCTGCTGCTTTTCCTTGTTGTTCTTTGCTTCCTCCCGTGCAGCTTGCTGAGCCTCCTTCTCTTCTGCCCGCACAGCGAGCTGCTTCCGACGGAAGTCTTCCTCTTCCGCAGCAGCAGGTGCTTCCAGGGATGCCTCTGCCTCTGCCATTACAGGACAAGGAGCAACGCTGGGAGGCGGCAGGGAAGAAACATCCAGCTTAGGTGCAGTGAGCAGATCATCAGCTTCAGGCATAGGCAGCGTCTCCAACATGTCTGCAGGAGAACCTCAGGTAAACGCGTCGTAACCTGTAGAATCTCAACCAATTTCACGTTCAAACACAGGCAAAACAAGAATGCCACCTAGAAACCGGTGGAAGAAGAAGATCTCGCGGAACACAAAGCCACGGCGGCAGCTTCAGCTTGCACACTTAAAACCTCTTCCTCTTTCTTCAAGGAAGACAGCCTGATGCTCATGGAAAGTGATGCAGGATTATATGCCGATCAAGTAGACACATTCTAAGTACACAGTATATATAGTCATTAATGATCATGTGCTGGCTTACAACCCAATCAGCATATTGCACTGTGTGTGAAATAAGCCAAGCGACATTCGGAGCATCAACTGGCGACGCATGGCCAAGGACAGCAAGGACTGGCGGAACTCAGGCTGGCGGGCTCCAGGTGAGGCGTCCAACTTCTCTGCAGGTGCGCTGGCCGCTGCAGGTGGCTCCAAGACTGCAGGGGTCACAGCAGGCGTCTCCAGCACTGGGGGAGCCGCAGCTGGTGCTTCCCGGGCTGCAGGTACCACAGCTGAGCTTCGGGAAGAGGCCGCCGCTGAACTTGCCGCAGCTGGTGCTTCTGTGGCTGCAAGCACCACAGCTGAGCTTCCGGAAGAGGCCGCCGCTGAACTTGGTGAGGGCGCCGCAGCTGGTGCTTCTGGGGCTGCAAGCACCACAGCTGAGCTTGGGGAAGAGGCCGCAGCTGGTGCTTCCGGGGCTGCAGGCAGCGCTGAACTTGATGAAGGCGCCGCACCTGGTGCCTCCGGGGCTGCAGGCACCACAGCTGAGCTTGGAGAGTCCCCCGCTGAACTTGGTGAGGGCCTCTCCTGCAGGGACAGAGTGACAATCCATGAAAATAAAGATAAAGATATGGTGTACAAACGGTTGGCGAAAGGCAACTTTGAAAAGGTAACAGCTGCAGAAAAGACATGGCTGCGGAAACATTGACTATTCACCAGAAAACAGTTGCGGGCAAGAAATGGCAGCAGAAGGAAGAGTAGGGACCATGTTACCTATAGAAAATGAACCTACAGCTGTGAAGGAAAACGGCCGCGAAAAAGCAAGATACGAACATAAGGAACTTAGAAATATCCTCAAGTAGCTACGATCACAACTTGTGGAAAAATGGCTGCGCAAAGATTTATTTTGAAATTGACGCACATCTGCGGGGCAGAATATGCAGAAAAATGGCGACAAAAGAAAATTAAGACAAACAGCTGCTAAGGAAAATGGCTGCAGAACAAAAGTTACCAATCATGCAATTGCTGCGCAGGAAATGGCTGTAGAAAAATGGCTTCTATAAACCGAGCCTGACAGGGCAACAATGATAAATGGCTGCAGGGGAAGGTGGCTGCAGAAAGACGGTCAGCGCCAACGCTGACAAAATGGCTGCGAAAGAAAATTGCTGCAGAAGACTGGATTCGGACCACAGGTATAACACTAGGAACCCTGAAATGGCAACAAGGACATGGCTGCAGTGGAAGGTAGCTGCAAAAATATGGTTAGCGCAAACGCCGACAAACCAGCTGCGAAAGAAAGTGGCTACAGAAAAATGGCTGGGCACCACAAGTGTATACGTACCCGCAGAAGCCTAAAATAGCAACAAGGACAAATGGCTGCAGTGGAAGCTGGCTGCAGAAAGATGGTCAGAACCAATGCTGACAAAACGGTTGCCGAAAACACGTGGCATGAAGTGAACAAAATGGCTGCGGTGAAGACGGCTGCAGAAAACACGTGACATGAAGTAAATAAAAATGGCTGTGGTGAAGACGGCTGCAGAAAACACGTGAGATGAAATGAAAAAATGGCTGCGGTGAAGACGGCTGCAGTAAACGCATGACATGAAGTGAACAAAAATGGCTGCGGAGAAGATGGCTGCAGTAAACACAGGACATGAAGTGAACAAAAATGGCTGCGGTGAAGACGGCTGCAGTAAACGCATGACATGAAGTTAAAGAAAAAAGGCAGCGGTGAAGACGGCTGCAGAAAACACGTGACATGAAGTGAAAAAAATGGCTGCGGTGAAGTCGGCTGCAGTAAACGCGTGACATGAAGTGAACAAAATTGCTGCAGTGAAGACGGCTGCAGAAAACACGTGACATGAAGTGAAAAAAAATGGCGGCGGTGAAGACGGCTGCAGAAAACACGTGACATGAAGTGAACAAAATTGGCTGCGGAGAAGATGGCTGCAGTAAACACAGGACATGAAGGGAACAAAAATGGCTGCGGTGAAGACGGCTGCAGTAAACGCATGACATGAAGTTAAAGAAAAAAGGCTGCGGTGAAGACGGCTACAGTCAACACATGACACGAAGTGAACAAAAAGGAATGCGGTGAAGAAGGCTGCAGTTCAGAAATGCAATCACTCGAGGAACACATGATCTTAAAAGAAATGGCTGCAGGGTTTTTGAACATGGTTTACAGAAGGTGGCTACGGCATGAACCCTGACTTCAAGGTAACCAACCCTTTGGACCCAGCAGTCCTCCTGAGCACTCCTCTGCGCGCCACCTTTCCAATTCACGACGTCCACCCCGAAGTCCACAAGCAAGGACTTCATGACTTCATCCTGATGGTCGGTTGCGGCAAGTCATGAAAGCACAAAACAAGACCAGGCTCTTTAAACAACAATGTGGGGCCAAGTCTCTCTTGGAGGATTCTTCTTCCACATGACATTCTTCAAGCACCCCATCAAGTATCTCAGGCCCCAGGCTTCATCTGAGACAACCTTGATGCCGGGATTGAAGCCGTGCGACTCATGGAAAGCCAAGACCTCTGCTGTCAAAGTCTCTATGCACGCCGTGGCCGAACGAGCCGAAGACATTCTCTTCACCAAAGGCCGCAGCGCCAGCACGTTGTAGCGCACGTTCTCTGCGGTCTTGCTGACAGAATTGGTGCTCGGCTCTGGCTCTTGGCCAGCAGGGGGCTTCTCCAACAAAAGACGCTTGTGCGTCCGCATGCGGGTCCGCAGATTCTGGTCAGCGTCCCAGGCGTGGCACAACCCTTTCAAGTCAGTGAAGAGCACTGCCTTGGGAGCCATAGTGCGCCCCAACACCAAGAGCACAAGAAGCCTTCAGCCAAATGCCTGCGGTTCATGATGGTGAAAAGGCTGCGGCTGCGGCTTCAGGAGGTCAACATATCAAGTGCAAGTGCGTTCACAAATGACAAACCCTGACCAAAATTTCGATAAACATGCCAGAAGTACCTAAAAACATCGTCAGTCACGGCATGACAGGTGCCAGGGCTTGTTTTGAGAATGTACAAATGGCTGCAGGGCTAACAAACTGACCTATTACGGAATTTCTGCATCTAATACGACAGGTGTTGGAATTCTAGCCTCTCTTGAAAAAACGAGCCATTTCGTTAAAATTGCCAAAATTCCGGCTTGTGAGGCTTAGCCCATAGAAATAGATGTTTTACCTATTAAAAATGGTGATTTTCCATGGCTATGTTAAAAATCCAGGTGGTAATCGATATTACAGTACATCTTTCTAATTGCATGTGGAGCAATTGGGTTGAAATTCAAAGATGGTTCATCATCAGGATCGACTGTATTTTCATGTATTTCCCAAAGAAAATGTTTCCGTACGCAGCTCCCTTGTTCCACGGCTTGGTGAATCTATAGAGAGGTCGATAAACGTGGTGAGTCAATCCGATCACCTGATTTAATTATGTTCAGCAGAACATTCTGTGTGTCATGGTCAAAAGATGATATACATATATATATATATATACATATATATATATACTTTATGGCCACCCATTTTATCATGGGTATCCTCATATTGAGTAATATCAATCCCTATGAATGTTTCACCGTTTGTGCCTATTCAGAATACGTCGAAAAACTGGACACAACGGATTTTCTCGCAGGTCTTCCATGGCATGCAGAGACAAGAGGAAGCAGGCACAGCAGCTGTGGACAGCAAAGGCTACTACATTTGCGTACCAAAAAATTCTGCATGGACGATACCAAAATGTTCAGCAGTGAAATCATTGGCATGCAGGGCTGGATCTTTTGCTATCTTAGATTACTAAATAGGGTACCGTTGTTGCGGCGAAATGAGTCATGCATTTCGGGACGGGACCAGCTGTTTAAGCCACGAATCATGATTTCCTTGATCTTCCTTGTAGAAAAGGATGACTATCACCAGCGTAAAACTTTATTGCGGCACATCATTTGTGTCATTGTACTGCAGGCTACTGAGTAATTGTGATCCCCTTGTTTGGGCCGGTAGCAGATAGAATATATAAACGTTTGGATATCTTATTCAACTGGTTCCAAACCTGTATGATCTGTGAGTGAATGCCATAGTCGAATTCATGTTCACAGCCACACACATTTTTTCTCTAGTCAAAAGTGAACTGTTGTGGAATTTGTTTTTTTTCTTACCGTCACACTGGAATAGAAGCCCCACAACAGTGAACTCAAAAGTGAACTCACAACAGTTGAATTTGCTCAGCGGGCTTCGTCAGTCTCCATCGCCAACAGCGTGCTGTTGGAGCTCTGTGAGCGCGCGTGGAGTAGCCAGGCGGGAGGAATCTCGGTGAGTGGTTGGTACATGGAAGGTGAGGCCCCCCAATGACAAAGCCATTGATTCATATACATTAACTATATCTAATCATAAACCATAGTTATAGTCTGTTATAGTATGTTATAGGTAACATGAGTTAAGCGTAGTTGACCAAGTTATAAGTCAATTTGGTTAATTAATTATCTAGGGGTTCTCACCTTGTAGAAGTTTGGAACATAACAAATGAAGGTTGTGATTGATATCCGTTGATGTCCCAGTTTTTCAGTAAGCCCTTGAAGGTTGAACCGCAGCTTGCCACGGTTCGTTAGCTGGTGACTACACCATCTGGTAATCAAACATGGCTGGAAAATCACCCAGCTATAGTTCTATGATGTTCCCATCATTTCCCATGTAGAAACCTCCATTTATAAGGGATTGGTCATTGCCACGTTTGATTACCAGAGGGTATATAAGCTTGCATTCTGTTGGGTTTAATGTTTAATGCATCCATCAGAGTTTCGTACATTCGGATCTACATTCGTACAATTAGTGAGGCATTGATTTGGCCACATTGCCAGCTGATTCATAATCCCTTTTTGAGTGAGTTGCATAAGTTATACAGATCATCTTCTGGAATCTTCTGGATACATGAAAAATATATAAAAATATCACACCGTGGGTCGATGGGTCAAAATCTAATAACGTCATGCGTCACGTGTGGTGGCCAAGGCAATCCATCCCAAGCCTAAAACGTGGTACACCCGATGTTTGTGAGGGTTTCTGAGCCCATCCAACTGTATAGCGTAGCCATGCCTAGCCACAAAACACCTCTCGTGTCTAAACAAAAAGTAGCCATAAGAACACGAAAACGTGCAAAACTCATGTTAAGAAACACGATGTTTATGAGTCAATTGAGGGTCTGAGTAGATTTGTTTCGCCATATATTTCCCTCCCGGAGCTTGAACGCGGTTTTACACCAACAAAGACTCCGATATGTCTCCTCGCTATCATGATTTTACACAAAGTATTGGTATGGGTGAAAATTATTTTATACCAAATCAATCCAACTCAAACAGTGATGTTCCAAACCAGTGGATTAAAAGGTGAGGTGTGAAATAGGCCCATCCAAAATCCCCAGGAACTCATATAAAAACAAACGACTGGGATAAATCCAGGGTAAAGGATTGTTTTATATGAGGTCCTGATAAACAGCAGTAGTTTCATAAACATAAATGAGGTCCTGAACAAACTACTCATATACAACATGATAAATCCCTCAACTGGTGCAGGATTCATCCAATTCATGGTCGTTTTATCCCTCAAAACCTGGCGGAACAACTCGGCGCCAGGGCGCCCGCGACGCGAAATTGTCGCCGGGCGACGTGGCGGCTGTGGCGGCTGCAGCGCAGGCCACGTTCCAGGCGCTAACGCAGGCGCGAAACGAAAAAGGTCACCATGGAGAATGGAGTCGAGTGACCTCACAGGGACCTGGAACTCATGATTAGTACCCTCTGGTTATGTCAAAATAGCTATTGAAAATGGCCCAGTCGAAATAGTGGATTTTCCCAGCTAGAAAATGGTGATTTTCCTTAGTTATGTAAACGTTTACCAGATGGTAAGAGAAATGATTGTGAACACCACTACCATTGTAGTTGTTGAGGGGAATGGCCTTATTTCAGCTTAGTGAATTATTTACTATATTTTACCCGGATCAATGGAGGTTTCCTACAATGGTTGTGCCGCAAAACCATGGCTTTCAATAATAAATTGGATGGGATTGACCTGAAAAACATCTGGCCATGAAATTAGAAGGAAATGAAGATTTACCAGTGGTTGAAATGAAATGGGCTAATGTGGGAAACCCAATAGAAAGCCATCCCCAAAATCACAATACATGGGTTGCATAGACAATTGGCGGTTGTGCTATTTATGGGTTTCCATCGTTAAGGAGTTTTATTGGCATGATGGTTATCTTAGCTGGAATATATCATCCTAGTCACAATGTATACAGTATAAATATATATATATATAATATGTATTGTATATTTATAATTATTTATATACAGTAACACCATTAATATAACCAGTTTTAAAACTATGGCTTGTACATCATAAAAAAATACTTTACTTCGTGTGATCCCCACCATGACATTTATACATTTTGTTACTGGCAAATCTTCTGACATTCTATCTGACATATCTTCTGACATACTTTCTGGCATATCTTCTGACATTCTATTTGACATCTTTTCTCACATTCTTCCCGTTGAGGTCCGGCAGTGCCCACTGCGATCTGGAAGTCGCGGTTGAGGTCCGGCAGTGCCCACTGCGATCCGGAAGTCGCAGTTGAGGTCCGGCAGTGCCCACTGCAACCGTTGAGGTCCGGCAGTGCCCACTGGGATCTGCTGGAGCTCGCGGTGGAGGTCCGGCAGTGCCCACTGGGATCGGGAGCTCGCGGTGGAGGTCCGGCAGTGCCCACTGGGATCTGGACTGCGAGGAGGAGGCGGCGGGTGAGGAGGCGGAGGAGGCGGAGGTGGAGGCGGAGGAGGCGGAGGAGGAGGAGGAGAACAGCTCTGATAAAATCTAACAACCCTCACCTGGCAGGTGGGGAAAAACTGGATGACAAATCCATCACGACGTGACCCGTTCATTATGTGACCTCACTGGACGGGGGAATCCTCCCAAAAAAACGCCACAAAAACATATGTTTGTGACACATGAACAGAACATTTTTATAGATCTATAATGATCTATATGTATATTGAGTCATATTATACCACAAAAAAAAGTCCCAGTACGAGATATTCTGCGAAGTTACTGCATAGTTTGGATACAAGCGAGTATGTAGCCAGCTTGACGATATGACGGTTACTAATATATATATATATGTATGTATATGTAAATGTACATGTATATGTATATGTATATGTATATAAATATATATATATATATATGTATATATGTATATATGTATATATGTATATATGTGTATCTGTATTTATGTATATATGTATATATGTATATATGTATATATGTATATATGTATATATGTATATATGTATTTTTGTATGTGTATATATATATATATATACGTATATATATATATATATATGTACAAATGTGTATATGTATATATGTATATAAGTATATATGTATATTTGTATATATGTATATATGTATATATGTATATAAGAACACCAAAAAAAACTAAAAGAAGAAAAAAGGAAAGTGGGCATCCTCGCAATTGTGGGTGGAAGAAAGCGACCAAGTCACAGCAGCCTAGCCATGGAGTTTTTTTGGTTCCCGTATACATGGGATATATGGGGATATTCCAGTCAACCATGGAGCTGATTATGGTTATTGCTCGAGTTTTGTACTATAAACCACTCTTAGCCATGGTATTTCCCATGCTATGATCGTGGTTAACTATGGTTATCAAATATGATCATATTACCATGGTCAGAATACCATGATCATTCTAGAGGCAACATTCCCATATTCAGAAAATCTTCGCATACCATGTTTTCATCGTACTCCAGACCTGGGTTGTGGTATGTTACTTTGATAGGCATTTCAGCTCAATCTGGAGGGAACAGTTGGGCCATGGCGAATCCACTGAATGCCCCTCCACAGCTTTCTATCCCCTATGTCGTTCCAAAGCAGCTGTGGACATTGGATGAATTGAAGGCTGCTTTGATAAGGGAGTTTCCTCATTTGTCTACCGAAGAAGGACAGGGTTGTCAAAGGTAACGTTTTTAAAGGTTGGCTGAGTAAAAATTAGCCAGTTTCTTCCCCGGGGCCTCACCCAAGGTGAACTCGGAAAAATAGAACCCACTGGTGTGCCCCTGGAAGTTTGGGCTGGCTTTGGGATTAGAATTTTGGTTCTGGCCCCGACATTTCCCTATGTGGTCTCTATACCAGCCACGCATACTCAGAATTCTTCGCGTTCCACAAATTCTTTGCACTCCAGCGACGCCATCGCACTCCACAGCTGGGGAGGCACACATACCCTCAAATCATCGCGCTCGGCAAGATCTGCGCACTCCATAAAATCCTCGCTTTCGGTGAATGAAACTGTTTTTTCGTTTTTTTTTTTTCGTTTTTTTTTGGCTAAAATCGCCTGGAATCACGATTTCTGGAATATGGGGAAGATGGAGTTTTCGCGTGAGACGTCTGTAGTTTTACATACTATTGCATTCCAGGCCATTTTGGCCCCCAAAAAAAAATGTGAAAAAATTCTGGTATATGATGGAAAAAAACTGGTGTTGGATCCATGGGGAAGGTCGAAGGGGACCGCAGGGGGCCACACATACGGTTTTATTTTCGCATTCCAGAAAATTAGCGCACTCCAGGGGTGGCATCGTACTCTATCGGTGGGATTAATTTGCACGGAAGAAAACAGGATCGTCGATGATTTGTGTTCCCAGATCCTGTTGTGCAGAGCTCTTTGCGGGGCCACAAAGATGTCAAGAAAGATGGGGATGGCGCTGCTGGTGAAAGGCCAGCCAAGCGTGCCAGAACATAAGCTGAAAGCTTATGAATTGGGTTTTGAGATTCTGAAAAGTGTAGATGACAAATTCCAAAAAGAACATTATTAATCCATTTTTGGAAAGCTCAACATTATTGATTATGACATTTCCAGAATTTGTTGAAAGTAAGGATCGTCTTTGGGGAAGAACATGTGCAGTCGACAACGTACGTGCCAGAAAAAAAGGAGTACTTGGCAAACTGTATGAAGTACAAATTTCACCTGACAGGGGTCTTCGCAATTCCCTGAAATTTCCCAGCTATTTTGGCATGGAATATGTTCGGCCCTGGAATATGGGGAAGAAACTGCTAGAATCACAATAATACCATGGTCAATCACTATTATTAACTATTACCTATGACCATGATCATGATCAGGATAGTGGTTAATAATACCACAAGTTTTGCCGTTTTGCTGGTTTCTCACCGTGAAACTGTTTCTTTGCATCCCTAGATCCCGTATGGCTGGGATTGGCAAAGTGTAATTGGTGGGCTCAGCCAGTGAGATTGTCATCCACTTGTTGAATATGGGAACAGCTTTTTCGTAGGTTTCAGTCCATATATATATAATGTATGTATACATATTCTATATTAATATATTTTATGTGTAATTTTATATAGATATGTATGTGTATATACATATATACATGTTATATCATATCTATGGCTTTTACCTCCATTCTTGCCTCATCCCTCTCTAGGCGTTGGAGGAGCGCTGGCCACTGTTGCAGGTTGGCTCGGTTGGCGGCATTTGCCCTGCTCATTGAAAAATACGAAGACGATTACATACAATAGGTTCAATTTTGACGTATATATTTTATATAAATTTGAAGTTTTCTATATTACCCTCTGGTTATTTAACATAGCCATGGAAAATCCCTTATAAATGGAGGTTTTAGTGGGACAATCATCCATTTATTTTGGGGATTTTCCATGGCTATGTTAGTCATAACCAGAGGGTATTATTTTTGAGGCTATACATATATTATAATTGATGCAAACCATTGGTGATACCAAGTACTGGAATTGGGATGGCTTTTATATTCTAAATAGTCAGATACAAAAGCTTTGCACAGGTGGGTACATGATATTCTATGTTGACTATAGTTATTATGAGAATCACGTGTAGTACGATTTTGCTTGAACTATTTAATTCTGAATTAGTATGAATTGGCACTATTCAAATCATAATTAGAATTACTAATTGAAGTAGAACTATTCAATTTGGCTACAAGGATAGTTAGGAATTCCTAGTAGAACTATTCAGTTTTTCCTAAGAACTACTAATTGAAGTAGAACTATTTATCAATGAGGAATTCGTCTACTTGATCCAGATCTACAGCTGGCGCTTGCGTAGACTTGCTCCGTGACCTCTTGGAGGGTTTGTTTTTTGTTCGTTGAGCAACGAGGATGGCCTTGTTTAACAGTTAATGATTTTCTGATCGATTGGGATATATCGATGTATCATTTGCCAATCTCTATATATATATTATTATATGATATATTTCTTTGACTCTGATAGTTATTTATATTATTGTAGTGAATGGAGCAATTCGTAAGAGATGGACATTCATTCAATGATCAATGGATATTCATTCAATGATAATGATTGTGTCGCAAAAAACCAATCATGTATCATCAGTTGATACCAAAAAAATCATGTTCCTGGTCAAATCTAAGTGAGCATTTTGACGCTAAAGCAACAATATTCTACAATCATCCGTTGCCTCTATCACCACTTATCTTTTTTCAAGTCACCATTGCTGTTGCTTGCAATCCAAGCTTTGTGGTTCGAATTTGTGGATATATATCGTCCCATTTTGGGTAAGCAGTTTTGATTCATATTAACAGGGTGCCACATAGGTAGCTAAGTTCGTTTATAATAATTCCGATTAGTAGGGTTTATGCGGGTTAGTTATCTTATCTTCAAAAATATAGGGAAATCGAAACCTACAAACATAACTGAAGGCCACTTTTTTGGTACAACTATGACGAATATTTGCATATATATATATATATAAATATACATAGCCAATGGTCAAACATCGTTTTTTTGCCCATGGTCAACTACATGGTCAACCGCCCATCTGCGAGGCGCTGGAGGCGAGCGCCTCCGAGGATCTGCGGTTTGTTCGTGGCGGAATTCGGTGCTTTAGTGGAACCAAACTTCCAAAAACAATGGATTTACCCTCTGTTAAATAAACATAGACCCTGAAAATCACCAATTTTTAATGGACACTAGTCTTCCAACCCCGACAACTGCCAGGGTCTATGTTAATTTACCAGAGGGTACCATCTAAAATTGTTTGCACATGTCTATGTGTCTATATAATATTATATTATATGATCATATATTATCTGATTGTAGATGAATTTCACATACGCACTACCATGCCAAAAATGGTACCCCAAACAACAATGAAATCCCTACTACCTGGTTATTTAACATAGCCATGGAAAATCACCATTTTTAATAGGTAAACCATCAAAACCACGAAAAAACACAGTGTTTCGCGACTTTCCTACCTTTTCGCGCACCTGAATCTTCTTTCTTCTGATCTTTTCTCTTCTGACTCTTCTCCCTGCTGACTGCTTTTTCATCTCTCCATATTGTCGGAAGTTTGACTTCTAAACTTCCTTCGGCCACCAACCAAATGTAATGGAATATAATTCCACTAAATGGTGATATTATACCAATAAATAGTTAATGCTTATCATTGGAATTATCATTATACTACCGATAATGATTAATGATGATTATTTTGATAATAGTCTTTGATGATGTTTATTATCACTATTAAAAAATGATGATTAATGATAATGATTGATGTAGTGGATTAATGGTGATTAATGGTAGTGGTACGCATTATTGGTGATCAGTATTAATTATAATCACAATCATTTTGGCATTATCAATGATTATTTCGATTTTATATTGGTGATGGTAGTCGTTGATGATGTTTTTTATTTTGACTATGATGACATCATGCTATTTGTCTTTGATGTAATGCCAAAATGATATATATATATATATACATATACTTATATTTATACATATCATCATATTGTAGTTAAAGTTGTTTAATGTGTATATATATATTTGCACACAAGTAAATTATATAATATAATACAATTATTCGAATGTTTAAGCATATCACTTTTTTAATGAGCTGAACATGGTTGAAAACATGCTGGTTCTGCCAAGAAATATGGGGATAGTATCAGGATCGGACCAACACGTGATCTCCTTTGTTTAGGGTCAAAATTCACCCCGGGGAAAACTGAAGATTCCAACTTTTGGAGCCACATGTCAGAATTCAATATTGGAATGTTCGAACATATTGAAATGTTGGAATGTCAATTTTACCCCTAATTCAATGGCCTTATATGGTACGGTACCTCGATTTTAGGATCCTGGAATTCCCATTGACTAATTCATTATGAAATTTTAACCCCTATGATTGTTTCAATATTGGAATGTCAAAATTCCGTTTGTGAACCACAGCCGCCGTGAAGCTGACCAGGACTCACCACCTGCCTTGGTAGCAACCACTGTCAAGGCGGAGATGGTTGCGGAATCTTGACATTTTACCCGAGGGTAAACACAACAAAGATAAGGAAAAAGCATGATGATATGGCGTTTGTTTGGAAAATGATCTAATTACATGGGTAAGCTCCACAGGTTAGTTTACCCTAGGGTATATGGAAACAAATGGAAACAACACGAATCTGGTTGGTAAATAAGGATTATCAACCACAATGTAAACCTTTTATGAACGGGGGATGAAACGCATGTGTCCATGATACAAGTGCCTAATTGCCTTTTTTCGTACTTAGCATCCTACCATCCAGTCCTGGCGAGGAATGGATATGTTTTTTTGGTATAGAATTCATATCTAGCCATGCGGAGATATTTTCCAGTGGTATTTTTTGGGGGTGATATCTTCATATCTTAACGAACCCCGATAACGGTGAGTACAATTTCTGATGAATTTTCTTCGAAAATTCCATGCAGACATTGGGAAGTCAGGGTCTTTGTTTGCCTAGAAAACAAAGAGAATCTACGATGTGAATAACTTACTTGTGCTTAGTAGGGAATGAGGGAATGATCCACAATAACTATCAATGATAATCAATCCCATTTCCCCATTCCCATCCATTCCCTGCTAAGCACCAGTAAGATAATTCCCAAATTGCATCCCTAAAAGCAGTGCTTTTCGAAGCCTTGTCAGCATTCTATTCCTATTGGCCAGTCAGATGAACGCTGATTATTGGTATCGCTCTTTTCTTAGCCTCATAAAGTTTGGTTGTGTAGTGTGTTTGTGTGTTGTTTTAATCAGTGTTTATATGTGTTTATCATTATATACTAAAAAGTATTACTAAACTGATTAGTAATAGTAAATGGCAATCACATCGTCGTGTTGTGTATCTATCGCTGGATTGGTTTAAGGAAACAAATGCATGACCCCCCCTGGATTTGAGGAGAAAAACGATGGTCTCCCGTAGATTTTCCCTTCAACCAATCCAGCGAATCTATTGATATCATCGGGAGTAACACAGGCCCTGGTGAAAATCCATGTCATTTTGACTGCGCCGATAAAAACACTCACTTCCCCCGGGCAGCATCCCCGTTCTGGCCGTAGATTTCGACGGGTTTTTCCACTGGACCCTCCTGAGATTCTGGAGGATCCCGATGCCCAGGCAGCCTTAGCGGCCCTGGCTGCGAAGCTGTTGGACATCATCGGTGATGGAAAGAGCGGTGCTCAGGTCGAAGCCGAAGCCACGATGGGATGGGTCGCATAGGCCGTGGTCAGTTTATGGTTAAAAAGTTAAATTTTAGGGATAACTTGGGGATAACTTAGTTTATTGTGGTTCAACCATAGTTGAGATGATTGGTTGAGACGATTGAGATAACTTTCGGATGGGTTAAAACCACCAAGCCAAGCAGTTGATGTTGATGATGACACACCCTTTTTTGTTGTCGTGCAGAAATGGCTCAAAATGAATATGTTGATAAACATTGTGAAACACATGAAAACCCAATGTATCCCAGTTTAATATACATCATCTATCCCAATCTTTGGAACTCCGAGGTTTGACACTCGGTGACCTCAATCGTCACCCCATAGATGCGGGATGGATACGATTACTGTGCTGTCTATCCCGGTGACTTTTCCGCCACTCATCAAGCATGATCAAACCTGGCAATACAGCGTTTTGTTTTTGATACTAGTTAGTACGTATTGGGTGTGTTTCAAGAACTGTGACTGTATTCAATAAACAGAAGATATATTCATTGATATGTATTTCAAATTATCAATAATCTATTGGAAACTAGTTTGCACATAAATATCCAGATCCAGACAGAATAACCGAATAATCATTAGACTTGCACATATACAGTTTATAATTATATGTATATATATATAATTATATGTAAGTATATATGTATATATATATGTATATCAACATGGGTTTTCGACATCCAGTGTAAACTGTTGAACATTGATAGCCATGAATATTCACGAATAAACATATCAATTGTAAATCATCCATAAATCATCCGTAGAAAAGAATCTATATATTACCATTTACAATTATACTCCCCATATATTTGTTGGTGAATAAACATAACACACACACACATATATATATAAACCATATACAGGTTATATTCCCACGAGATTTTACATATATTTATTGGGTTAAACCCCATTGCAAATCATCCATCAAAATATAGTAAAAACATGTAAATATTCTAAAACTTTCCATCGTTTTTTCACGATATTTCCAAATTGTTGGTTAGATCAGTTAAATCCCGATATATGTGCCATATACCATCTGGTTATGTCTAACAGTTCGCCATGGAAAGATCCACCCATTTTTAAGATTTTTTTAAGTTCGGTAAACCATCTATTTCGATTAGGGCCATCGAAAAACCATGGCTATATTAGTCACAACCAGAGGGCAATATATTCAGCTATACACAGATAAATGGAGGTTTCTAGCTGGGAAAATCATCTATTTCTATGGGCCATTTCCCATGGGATTTCTGTGCGAGCCTGCCCCGGAGGTGGATGAAGCCACGGCCAATCAGCGTGCGTCCATGGCGGCGCCTGGGTTGCTGGAGATGGGATAAGAATGGGATATGATGGTTTCAGTCACTGTAGTAGTTATCCCATAGGATCCATGTATGGTATATATGGTAACATTTACCATCAATATACCCCAATGTTACTATATATACCATACATGGATTCTATGGGTATGGGATAATGATAATAGATGATAATAGTATTTCATATCATATCCCATATTTTGATATATGATGGATATTCACTATAATCGGGGATATCCCATACATAACTGTAGCCTTTGGTAAACGCGTATACATAACTATGGAAAACCAGATTTTTTGACGGGTAAATCAACGAACTAAATGGCCATTTTCAATAGCTGTGTTAGTTTACCAGAGAGTAACTAGATGATAGCAATATGGTGATTGTCAGTGAACGACAACCCCCCAATTTAGCTTTGTCAAATCCAATGTTGGTGAAATCCGTAAGGTGTGCCCAGCTGAGAGTCTCAAGTGGAGTTTTGTCAAATATGTTAGCTAATATATATATACATATATATATATATACATATATATATACATATATATATATATACATATATATATATACATATAACATGAGCCTGGTTTAATCTGGTTCAACCCATGTTTAACCCATCATTTCCAAGTGCAGCAACGTGTTTTTCAGCAAAAATGGGTTTGATGATCCCAAAAATGGACTCCGAGGGCAGCTCCGCTGTTCAGTGCGTCCTGGGTTTTGAACATAACCCAGCAGTAGAGATCGGAATTTATATGATCATCATAGTTCATAAAGATAATATTCGATAATATAATTGATAATATGTGATAATATTTGATAATATTTGATATGATCATCATCGTGATTTGCCCTTTTTCATATGATCATATTTGACATAGTTTGAAATCATAGAGTTCATGAAATTTGTGATTATTCAGCACATTATCGATAAGACTGCTTCATTAATTATCCCAGATTATGATACTGCCAGTAGGATTATCATCCATATGTATCCATATGTGG